AAGTTACACTACTCGAGTAACTGTGTTTACATAGGGAAAACGTGGAAGTGTTTGGTCGCTTCTCTGCTTGGCCCATATTTAATGCATGGGCTAAGCTAAGTGCTAACATAGTTTTGCGGCAATACAGAGCGATATAGTGCACGCACTGAGACGAGAGAGGTATGTATCAACTCGTCTTAGTTAAGGGAATAACATAGTTTAATAAGAAAAACTGGTGGAGTATCCCTTTAAAGTCCATATCTACTATTGACTTTGTACCTAACACTTGACTGAATAATGGCTAAAATGGCTAGTTTGGAAATCATTGGTGATTGAAAATTGTTTGAAGTGACAACTATTGTTTTGAAGTAAAACAATATCTGCACTACTGTTTTAATATACACCTGAGTTGCAGATTATAATTAGGAAAAAACACAAGAATGTAAGGTTTGCATGTTAATGTTTTCACATCTTATGTTTATGGGGGGGGGGGGGGGGGTGTTAAAAACATAATTTATATTGTTATGAATTTATGGCCATAATATGCATATTTTGGACTGTAAAATAGTTTTAGTAAATAGTAAAAGGAACCTTATTTTGTTTTAGTCCATTGTCTCAGAGTTCATTTGAAACTCCTTGGACTCATTCCCGGTAGAGTTTATTGGATGTGGCAAAATCAATACAGTGTATCTTGGAGCACTTCAGGGCATCCCATTGTCTTTCCCCGGATTCAGACTCCTTGGCTGAATAAAAAAAGATTCCACATCGCTGGAAATAGTGGGTAAGTCTCCATAGTTCTGTCCACTCTGCCACTTCACTATTCCAATTCACTGCAATATTTATAGATGTACAAGGATCATAGATAGATACGTAGATGTATTCTACAGCACCACAAAATATAGTGAAGATGAAATACTGGAAAGAGGTTTATCTCTGCTTTGGTATTCTGAGCGACTATAATGCTGATATAAAATCACCATGGACAGGATGTAAACAACCATTTAGCTGATGGTCGTTCACTTTTTACAGGGAAAGTCAACCGGAGGTCTTGACAATTCAAAGGTGACAGTTCAACAGCTTATAATGTTTTGGTTACCACATCCACTACAAGACTGACAGACTCGAGTGTTGTGTTTTAGTCTCACATTGTATAATTAAGCTTCGAAGAATGTTACAATTATTACCTGATTTACATACAGAAATAGGTGTAAATGATAATGAAGCAAAGATTTCATCAAATGTGCCCACCTTTCTTACTTTATTGAAAAACATAGTGACACTGATACAATTTACTATACCTCAATCTTTTATGCAAATATTAGTTCATAAACTTTTAGACAATCAACCTACCAAGGTTAATGTCATGATTCCTGTCTTGTGTTCCCCTTGTCTTGTGAGGACTTTTATGTTTTCTGTTTTGCGCATTAAAAGCTAATGGTTTTCTATTTCAATTTATTTTAAAATGTAATTTATTCATGTTATTTCAATTCATTTAACCTTTTGCAACATTATAAATGTCTTTACTTTCACTTTTAATACATTTTTGATCACTTCGATATCAAATTTGCTGTGGGTTTCAGCACTTGTCTCATTACATCTCTCTTAAGGATAGTTCCCCCAAAAATGAAAATTCTTTCAATGTTTAATCACCCTCCTATCATTCCAATCCCGTATGTGTCACGAGTCCACCATTCCTCCCTCACTCACACTCTAAACTACAATTCCCAGCATTCCTCCTGCTCATTACCTGCATGCACTTACTCAGCCATCACCACATTTAAGCACACACCTCAGTCACACAGATGGTCTGGTCTTGTCACTCACCCATAAGAAGGACTTACCTGACTGCCTGCCTGTTCACTATTCATCCGTCATCTGTTCACCCAGCTCCCGCAGCAGTCCTCGGAATCCTCTCCAGCCAGATTACCTGTGGAAAAGATACAAAGACTTTATATTCAGCTAAGTTACCAGTTTGGATTCTCAAGCATTGCCTTAAGTTAATGTGTTGTGTTTTCCAGAAGTTCCTCATTAAAACTCTGTGTTGAATCCACTTCTGTTGTCTGTTCTCTTCTATTTGTGACAGAAGACCAGACCATCACAGAATGAATCCAACAAGCTCAGCTCCATTCATTAACCATGCAGCAGTGTATCCAGTTCACCCTGCTGACCTGCTCCTCTACCTTTCCCAAGATTCCCGGCGGCTGGAGGATTATGTGGAGGAGTTCCTTAAGCTCTCCCATCTGGTGCCCTGGTGGTCTTCTGGAATGGATTGGACGATCATCTTCTTCGACAAATACTTCCCCGAGTCCACCGTTCCTCCCTCGCTGCTGCATTCTCTCACTCCTAAGCTACAATTCCCAGCATTCCTCCTGCTCATCACCTGCAGCATACAGGCAAAGCATACAGGTTTGGAACGACATGAGGATGAGTTAATAATGACAGAATTTTGACATTTTTGGGCGAACTTGGCCATCACTTTAATCATTACTACTCCCTAAGAAACTGCACATTCCCGAGTTATGCTCAGTCAAAGTTCCACAGGAAGTGACCATATCTCAGGAAGAAAGACGAGTTGGGGCTCCTACTCTTGGCATAGGGGGCCCACTAGGTGACCCCTTCATGCCCAGAGTTATGCCCGGTCAAAGCTGGACAGGAAGTGGCGCTATCTCGGAGCCAGAAGGTCCCAGGGGCTCGGGACTGTGGGGAGAGTAGGATCTCTATCTCATTTGAATGAATGTGTGTAATTTGTAGGCCAATCTAAATATAGATGTAAATTAAGGTAGTAAGTAAGGTAAGGTACAATGTTAGTAAGGTAAAAGCACACAAAGAAATGTTATCATTAAACACTCGAAGTTGATCGAAGTTTGTAATTAGAGGGATTTCTCATTGAAATGAGTAATGGTGAAAAAAGACAACGTTTTCCTTTAAAAATGTAAGATATGTTTACTGTAAGGCGGATGCCAGAAAGTCTGGACTGAGAAATGACTAGTCGGGAACCAAGCCAACTTAAGGCTCCATACTCCGGGCATGGGGGGGGGCCCACTAGGAGACCGCCCTAAGCCAAGAGTATGGAGCCTCAACTCGGCTTGGCTTCCGAGATACACCCGGTCAAACTTCCAACTACAACACCAGAGTCAGGCCAACTTAAGGCTCCAGACCAACAGCCTGGACCCCCAGCCACTAACACCTACCCATCCCACCCAGGGCTCTAATCAAACACTAGTAAAATGATTTTTTTTTTTAAATACTTCCCTGTCATTGAATAAATATATTAATGTTTTACATCTTAAAAATAAATAATTTTTTTCACATTTTGTGAATCAATCATGATGTGGGTTTATATGAAACACATGCGGGCTTAAATGGTGCCACTGCCAAAGTACCAATTAAGCCCATGTCAGACAAATATCTTCATTTTATATTCTAAAATTTACATCAACTAATTAATACATTTTCAAATGAGAGATTAATCTTCCATTTTTTAACAAATGATTTTTCTTACAAACCATGTCAATATCTATAAAAAAATCCTAGACATAGATTTTGATGGGTTTAGGTACACTTATACCCTATCCATTCATTCCATTACTACTCCATTACCGAAGGAACTGCACATGGGAGAATTAAAGAAATCTAACTCATGACCATCCTTTAGAACTGACTTTAACAGCGGCCACAAGTAAAGCCTCAAAGACCAACTAAAAGCTACTCTGAAGACTAAAAGCATAGGTCATTTCCTTCTTTTGGGTAAATAGTACCTGAGTGTATAGTTTCAGGTAGCTGAATTTTGTTAATGATTAATTAGTTTGCCTTCTGAAAACACAGATGGATATCAAGAAGGCCTATAAAGCTACCAAAAAGTCTTTATCAGGTGCAATCAGAACACTTGTTTGTATGAACGTGTTTTGTGGCTATAAATTATGCATCTGTAGATCCGCTGGATATCGAATCTTAAGAGGTTGATGGGACCACAGTCAATATGTGGGCTATCCCTGTAGAGGTTATAATTATAATGGTTTCTAACTGCACCTCTTACGATGGAGATTTAAGAGGGAAATGTGTTTTCATAACTAATGATGTATTTTCCCCAAGGCCATTTTAATACAATCAGTCAGACACAGCTCATCTAAGCCAGGAGTGAGTTTGTTAGTGGTTGTGTGTGTGTGTGTGTGTGTGTGTGTGTGTGTGTGTGTGTGTGTGTGTGTGTGTGTGTGTGTGTGTGTGTGTATGGGGGTTATAAAACACTAAAAGCTTTCACATATAGGTTTAGAATAAAGGTAGAGCAAATTCAACAAATAACAGAGATGAAATGTAGAGAAAGGAAGATGTGTGCACTGTATTTCAGGCTTGTACGTGTGGACTGCTGTATAATATTTGTAATGACAGAGAAAAAGCAAACAAATTTTTTTTTTTTTTATCTTATGAGTGAAACTGCTCAAATATTATGTCTATTTATAAGCAGGAATTCCAATGTATATATATATATATATCAAATATTACTACAATTTATGAATGTTTGCTAATTTATTTGTTTTTGAATCCATTGTGTAATCCAAAAACATATTTGATATTATTAGACATAACTTGACTGATGATATAATTTAAATATATAAATAATTGATATATTATCTATGAAATATATAAATGTTATCATTGCAAAATATTTGTGGCAACACATACAGTACACAAGCCATTGATGATGATTCCTGACACCCCCCTCCCAAAAAAAAAAAAATCATATTTCCATCATGGATTCATTTCAAAAAAGCCTTTGAGAACCAAAAATAAATAAATAAAACATTTGAAATAATGGCACAATTGAAGTTCAATTGAAAATGCACAGTAGGTATGGAGGGAGGGAGAGAGAGAGAGAGAGAGAGAGAGAGAGAGAGAGAGAGAGAGAGAGAGGGGGGGGGGAGGGATTGCCTTGGGGGCAATCAAGGAGGTGAAAAGGAGGGCAATAAACCCCACAAACCAGGTCCACTTCCAGAAAACATTTTATCCCTCACTCTACTCTTGCTCTCTCTCACACTTAAATTAATTTTCTCTCACGTTTTCTGCCTGAGATGTCATCTCTGCTGAGGGAGGAGATGGACAGAGTCTTGTTCCGACCGGAGAGACAGAAGCTGGTGGAGTTTATAGAAATAGAGGAGCAACATCAGGGACGGCATTTTCTCTGTGTTTCTAGTAAGAAAATTCACCTTATTTTGTGCATAATTATTTGATGTGGCATGCGCTATTTTCCATCAGATAACGGTTGAGATACTGAGGAGAAAAAAAAACAGTGAGGTCATCTGGGGACACGTTTAGATATTGTTTGTGAAGGAGTAAGAATTGTAAAATATATTACTTTTATTGCTGAAGCGGTAGAATAAAAATTAGAACCAATGTGTGTTTAGTATCCAAGGATAAAGAAGCTCAGATCTCAGTGGTCTTGTGTCGGAAAGTTAAGCATTCACGGACTAAGAAGCTGCAGCACTGTGGGCTGGAGGACAGCTATGAGAGAACAGAGATCTGGGCCCTGGAAGACCTGCTGATTCTGGACGGTAGAGATCCAGATATAGTGAGTTGAGTTCAAACATTCATCCCCCTTTGATTTATGATTATACCTGCTACGTAACTGCTTGAAAAACATATTACATAGTAAAATATGAGCTAGACTTCAAAATAACGGCTTTGATGTGCTATATTATATTAGGAAGTGTTGTCTATTTCTTTCCAATGAAAGATTTTGAATTTGCATTTCTCTGCTGTGTTAGGACGATCCCTATTTCTTGATGCATTTCGACTCTGTGCGGTCCGTCAGAGCAGTGAGCTGTGCTGCAAAATACACGCTGGCCCGTTGTCTGCTGTCCCTGAGCAGGAAGCATCACCACACGGCACTTAAACTTAAGAACTTTGACTTGACGTACATTCAACCCACTGCAATGTATTCAGATCGTGGTGACTGTGTTGTCCTAGCGCAGATCTGTTTCTATGCCTTTAATCTGGTGTGTCTTTCCTTGTGTCCTGTGCCTCTGTAGAGAAAGCAGACAAAGACTAAACTCTTGATGTTGACCAAAAAGAAAAAGTTAATTGTAACCTGTAAACCTTTGGGAGTGCACAAAGACCATGATTTGTGTTTTGAGCACTTAGCTATGCTTTGAGCACTTAGACCTACACTAACTGTAACATAACTCCACAGTGTGGGTGAAATTAAATTTGTGCTTGTGCAAATGCAAACACAAAAGGGTGTTTCTGATGAGCAATGTTGTGACTTGAATTTATATTTATTTATTAACTGTTAGGCCTATAAATGCTACATTTGACATATTTTTGCATGTTTTAGCTGATTCATTAATAAGCAAGATACCAATGTGGTTTATCATTGTAAAAAGTGAAACTATGAGACAAACTTGTGGATATTACAGCAAACACTTTTAATAATCTTAAGCGAGCTCATCTGGTGAAACGTATGCTTGTCACATTTCTATTATGCCTCACAACAAATTCAACATTTGGAGAATTCGCAGAATATTTGAAACTGTGCACGACAGCTTTCATTCTCTGCATGCATGCATATTATGACATTTTAATAGCATGTAAGCTGGCATTTTTGAAAAATAAACCTTGAGTACATTACACTGATACTTACTGAATGAATTATTTTATTACGTGAAAATAAAAACCGGGCTTTAGCGATCATTACACAAAAATATTGCAGAATGCCTCGATTGACCAGTCAGGGTGTATTCCATAGAGTCGTGTATCAAAATATGATAACATCATGTAATAGTTTAAATGTGTACTGTACCACACTCTTTTTGAACGAAATGACACTTGGGCCAAACAAGTAACAACCGCTCTGTCGACGTCATACACGCTTCAATGTTTTGGGTCCATCAATTGGGTGGCTTAAACGTAGCCTGAATCAAAAGAATAAATTAATTCAATTTTAATAATAATGCCTTGATTGTAATGACCATGCATTTTATCAAAATAAAATTAACATTTCGTCTAAACATATGAAGGATTCGAGTGAATTTCTTTGTTTGTGGTTTTACTAGTAACTGACATCTCTCCCTTTTTTTGAACGGCGGAGCGGAAACGCGCATGGCGCCAAAATTTCAAGTTTGGATGGTTGAACTGAAAGCAACGCTGAGGTTCTTTGAAGTTGTTATCGGGTATAATATAGTAGCGTTGTTATTGTATTTTACTCGTACTGTGATTGATCGAAATGTACATAAAGTCTATTGTACTAGAGGGCTTCAAGTCCTACGCAGAAAGGACGGAGATTAACGGGTTTGATCCGTTTTTTAACGCCATCACTGGACTGAACGGCAGTGGAAAGTCAAACATCCTCGATTCCATCTGCTTTCTGCTGGGAATAACTAACTTATCACAGGTGCGTTTTAATACATTCAACTAATTTGTTATTAACACTTAGCCATATGTATAAATCAGCTCTGTGATTGGAGTTTTTCTGTGGCTGCGCAGTTTTTGTTTATTTATTTTTGTTTATCAAAAAAAAAAAAAAAATCTGATTGCTCTATTTTATAAATCATTTGTATGACAACAAGAACCTTCAATAAAAGTGAAACAGAATGTATGTTATTTTTTACAAGAAAACAGAGCATGACTGTTTAATAAATTAATATGTTTGAAGTTTTAACATCTACTCTCGTGTAATGGAAATCATAGATGTGAGTTGCAGAGTTCAAAAGCTGTAATACTGCTTGTTTTTGGTTTGGCAAACATTGTAGGTTCGTGCCACTAATCTCCAAGATCTAGTGTACAAAAATGGCCTGGCTGGAATCACCAAGGCAACTGTGTCCATTACTTTCGACAACTCCAACAAGAAACAGAGTCCCCTTGGTTTTGAGACCCATGATGAGATTACCATCACACGACAGGTATTCGACCAGAGATCACTGATTAGAGAGATGGCATCAAAGAGACAGTAATAATAAAGCTTGTGACACTGTTGTGTGCAGGTGGTCATAGGTGGACGAAACAAGTACCTCATCAACGGCGTGAACGCAAACAACCTGCGAGTCCAGGATCTGTTTTGTTCAGTTGGCTTGAATGTCAACAACCCTCACTTTCTGATCATGCAGGTAACAACCATAATACACCCATCGAGGAATTTATGTGGCCTAATAAGATTTTTGTAAAAGTATTGGATATTCATATTTTTTAACCTCAGGACTTTCATTTAAAGATGAATGTGAATGGCTGTTTGCAACTTATTTTACTTGTGTAATGTGACAATTTTTCATCTGAAATACTTCAAGTAAACAGTGTCAATTTTAAGACCAATTTTTATTTGGATTTCCTGATTCAGTTTTAGTTAGTGTTCACATTCCCAGTAACTCTAATTGTGTTTATTTCAGGGGAGAATCACTAAGGTTTTAAACATGAAGCCTCCTGAGGTGAGATTGATGGATGAAGTGACACAAAGTGTCTTAGATGCAAGTTTATAGTTTTCTTTTCTTATGTGATTTAAAAAAAAAAAAATTAATTATGGCATGTTTTATCTATAGATTCTGGCCATGATTGAGGAAGCGGCAGGTACCAGAATGTATGAGTGCAAGAAGATCAGTGCTCAGAAAACTATTGAGAAGAAAGATGCCAAGCTCAAAGAGATTCAGACTGTATGTACATTTATTTAAATATACATTTTTATTTGAATGACCTAACAATTGGAATGACATCAATTTCATCTCAGATATTGTGTGTGTGTGTGTGTGTGTGTGTGTGATAGATCCTGGATGAGGAGATCACGCCCGCTATGGAGAAACTGAAGGAGGTATGTGTTTTAAAAAAATAAATAAAAAAAATCTAAAATTAAAAAACAATTGTTTTGTTTTAAAAAAAATCCTCGTTTTTTTTTTGTTCTGTAAAACCCAAAAGACATTTTAAACTGAACAATTACTTTATAATTTAATGTATGTTTATATTAGATTACAAATAATGTATTATTTACATCTTTATTATATAAATAAATTAAATGTGTAATTAATAATAAATAATGTAATCTATACATATATAAATAATATAAAGGCTATACATTACTGTGTGCCTCTGTTTCTTTGTGCTGCTGAACATTATTTTGTTTATCATTGAAGTTTTCTACCAGCTTCAGTTCCTTACTGTGGACAAAGTTCATAGAACTTGTGCAATATATACTTATCTTTTTGTCACAGCCTATCCTTCTCCCTTGCTTCTTAGGAACGTGCGTCCTACCTGGAGTACCAGAAGCTCATGCGTGAGATCGAGCACTTGAGTCGTCTATATGTGGCGTACCTGTTTGTGTGCGCCGAGGAAACCAAGCTGAAGTCTACTGAAGAACTGCAAGAGATGCAGAGCTCCATCGCGCAGCTGCAGGAGAACATGAGACAGAACGAGGCCAAAGTGAAGGAGCTGAGCGCGGAGATACAGGAGCTGGAGCGCAAGAGGGACAAGGTGAGCAGCAGAGCAGACAGTCTGGGTTACACTGATCTGAGAACAGGAGCAACGGAGATGATTTCAGCCTTTGGGGGCTCACACCCAAACTATATAAGATGCTGTGATCTTGAGAAATGGAAAGAGATCCACGGATGAGTGATGGAGAACTAAGTGACTCCTGCTCTCTGATTTGTGTGCTACAAGAGTCAATCAAAGAGTTTCAGGTGGGGCAGGTGAAACTTGAATTGCTTATAATTAGGGATGTCCCGATCCGATCCACAGCATCGGTATCGTGCCGATACTGGCCCAGAACGCTAGATCGGAGGGGAGAAAAAAATATGATCCGATACCTATCCAACAATGCTCGAATATTAGCAAATCCCTTGCTGCGACATCCAGTCAAGCAGCGTAGCCTGCAGATTGGGCGGTTTTGCGATCTATTTTGCGCGCAAAAATGAGTTTGGGCGTGTGGATAAAAAATTGGGCTGGTTTCGGATCAGTTCGGCGGATTTTTGTAGCCGAAACACCGGCACTTCAGATCCTTCTTTCGGCGACCCTCTGTTCAGCAGGCGGTAGTCTCACTCACTCACATACACATACATCTCTGGCTGACGTGCCCCCTAAACTCACAACAGACACTACCTTCGGTGTACTAAAAACACGGTTTTGCAATCCGTCTCCTCAGTTTATAAACCGCAGGCTGTAAACTGTAGACACAAGATTTTGACGCATATCCAAAATCCAAGCGAGTGTGGAGCGCGCACTGAATGGCACGGAGGCGCGGACGCGAACACTTGCGTTTTCCTTTCAACAGTGGAAACAACTTAAAATACTCTATAATTTCTGGTCATACAGAAAATAACAATACATCATTCGCAACTACTTTTATTTGTGTAAACTCACAATAACAAGAAAACGTTGTGCTTTTGTAAAATAAAAGAAAACAATCAGGCGCGCTTATATGGTCTCCGTGAACTGGATCGCGTCTCAAAAATGAACTGAAACAAAATATAGCCTACCTATGTAGGCTAAAGCTTGAAATGTCCACTTTTAAAGGTGCTAAATGTAACTTTTCTTCTAAAAATGAATCCTTTTTTTATTGCCTGTGTGTGAAGGGGTTGTAATCACACATTACAATGATCCACTTGTCGGGTTTTGCTATTACCTCTGAAGGCCAGTATTCCTATTTCTATGTGAGGTCTCCGGGTCGGATTTTCTGCGAAATCCATCGGATGTGACGTGCATGCGCGCTCCCGAGCCTCTCTCCTTTTTACAGTCTATGCGACGGCACTGCAGCTGACGACATGGAGTCTGATAACACCAAACATGACCTGCCTCCAGCACAACACACACTCCAACACAAACTCCACATAAATATAAAAAACAAAACAAAAATGTATCTGCTGAAGCTCGTCAGACCAAACGTGAATCGGATCGACTTAGGACGAAAACACGGATCAACATCGGCAGAGCGTTTGAATTATGGAGAGACCTCCGCTATTTTTATTGTGATAAATTACAAGTTTTCAGATATGCTGAAATAATTGTTAACTCTAATGAAATAGCAAGGTTAACCACAACATACATGAGATATGAAATGAATACAAAAGACTGTTCCAGGATAACAAAAAGTAGGTGCTTTAGGATGTAACTTTTATTTTATGTACTAGATCTACTGTCTAACGTCACTCATCCCAATATCATATTGTATATAATTTTCAGACATGTTCATTACAGTAATGTTACTTCCTACGATCTTACTGTTACTCTGAAACTGTTCAGTCTAGTTCACTAACCGTTTTCGTTATCATATTAATACATTCACCTATGTTGACATTGCTGATTGTGAAAGATACACGAATAGGCTAGTTAGTGAAATGCCTTATGCTAGATAACACACATGTCGGCTAAATGCAGTCAATGTAACGCTATCATGGTACGAGCATGGAGCATTAGTTCAACGTCAAGCTGATAAAAGTAGCCTATTATTGTAAAGTTGCAGTGGGAGTTTACATGAGTTTCCAGCATGTTGTGTGATGCTTTCTCCGGTGTGTTGAAAGTCTCAGTGTGGCCGGTACCATGAGTGCTTGCTCTTGTGTTCGAGCACGCGCAAGAGCACGAGCGCTCTAGTAAAAATTGGTTGCAATCTGAAACATCACCGATAGAGGCCGCTAAAAAATACATAATAGCACCTTTAAACGAACAAATTCTAATCGAAAGCAAACGTCTGATTAATCCATAGCTATGAATTTCTCTCTAAAGGCACATATCCGCTTTACAGCGAAGATGGAGATATGTTTCCAGCCGACACTGATTTAGAAAACACTAGTTTATTAATAATCAATTGAAATGCATCGTTATTTTTTTCAGACACATTTATTATTATTAGCCTATAAATTACCTC